GTGTTGATGTTCTCCTGTGAATGAAATAATGAAAAGTCTGGTTCCAATAATCCATTATTTATGTATAAAGTTGGTAATAAGTATAAAGTGAGAAGGGAGTAGGTATAGGTGAAAAAGATAAAGACTGGAAAATGTGAAGGAGTATAAGTATTTGAGTTATATTTTGAAAGGCAAAGAGTGCAAAAGGCAGATTAGTGGAAATATTAGGAAAAGTAGTTATGAGAAAGTATGGGGAATAATCAAAATGTCTTTTCAGAATTTGGGATTTGAATAGGAGGGTGAAAATATTTTATTATTAGGGAGTTCTAACGTGCGGGTTGATATTTAGGGATAGTGAGGCAGATGGAACACGGAAAACGTCATGTCAGAATGTTTCTAAGTTGGTTTTGGGGACTGGAAAGGAATACTCCCGGTTGAAACGGTTTCGAGACAACGAGAGAGAAAGAGTGGGAGAAAGAGAGAGAGATGAGAGAGGAGAGTGAAGAAAGAGAGGAGAGAGTGAAGAAAGAGAGGAGAGAGAGAAGAAAGAGAGGAGAGAGAGAAGAAAGAGAGAAAGTGAGACTGAGAGAAAGAGAAACAAAGAATTCAGCAGGCTATGCAATGATATTAAAGTTTCGGATATAATGAAATTACAAGTAAATAAGATTTTGAGGAAGACCTAGATATTTAAAAGGTGTGATGAAGGAGAATGTACAGGGCAACAAATGAAGTCAGAAGAACATATTGGGCTAATAGTAAATAAAAGACTACTAGGATGTGAGAAGGGAATTAGGAGAATTGGGAACACCTATTGAGATGACGTGGTTGGAAAGAAGTCAGGAAAAATTGTAGGGACAAAGTTAAGGAAATCTTACAGGAAGATGGAAGTCGAAAGAGATGGATGAAAAATCTAGAAACACAAAGAAAGGGGCTGCTATAGGTGTAGAGATCTAGCAGATAAAAAGTTTCATTTGTAATGTAGGTTAATTTTTGCCTATGATATGAAGTATATTTTAAGGCTGTGGATGTAAATTATGCCTGCAAATTCTAGATGTATCTCTGAAAGAAGCAAATGTAAATAATTGTTGTTTTCATTGAATTATCACTTTAGTTTACTCAGAACATCAAAGATTGCTTTGCTTCCTCGTAGATAATTTACTCATTAATAAACTCACTAGTTATTATTTTTAAATTTATTGTTTAATCACAATTATAAAACTGTCTTCTCAACCAATCTAATCAACAATGACTCAACATTAAATAATTATTCATATTTTTGAAGAGTTTTAAATAAACGAATTTTATTGAATAAATAAAACTAGTGAACAGTTTACAAACATTGGGCTCTATATAAGTGAACGTTCGTCTCATTTTGGATTCCTCGTGAAAACAAGAATCTAGAGGAATTTCACGTCTTAATATTAAGAATGCTTGTTCGTTTTATAATATAGGTCTCACTCATATTAGTCATTACAATGTTTAATTTCGAAATATTAATAGCATATTTACTGCATTGACATGACTGATTTGTGGAATTTCAACTGATTCCACCCAAGGGGCTACTCAGACATTCATATTTTTGCCAGTTATAATTTTAATAAAAAAATATGCAACACAAAGAACAGATAACTTCAAATAATACTTAATTGATTTTTAATAAATTAGAGATTGTTCTGCCTAGAACTCGTTCAACATGAGAGTTACGAGAGGGCTGCTCCAGCAACCGGGGAATGGGACCCTATGTGAAAATTCAAGAGTACATTAAATTATTTTCAATTAAGAACAATCTCTGAGAACATATGCCCTACAATTTTATATTTTTGAGATGAGAGGACAGTCGTAAGTAGATCGCTGGTGAACGTGAGAAGATTCGAAGGAGTTTAAATCTATAAGCGGGTAGAATTGGGAAGAATCGAGAGAGTATGTCTACCAATCATAAGAATCAGATGTTAAGACGTTTTTCCTACCAATTGGCTTTACCAGTGATATTGCTCTCCTGGAATTTTATTAAATGTTATCGAATATTACCAGCTCCTTCATATTATGGGTTTATATAACGCCATTTCGTCAAGCTCTTCCCAAACACAGGGCTTAGGCCAAACTCGTGGGTGAGAACTTCGCCAGCTCTCGTCCGAGACCTTGTTTTCCTTTCGTAAAATCAAAAACTCCAACCCTTCCAGATCAATTTCCAATAACACTTGAACGTAATAGACAGATATAAAATATTACATTCAAATATAATATACATGGAGATAATATAAAACTAAATAAATTCTAGTCACGGAATCACCATGTGAATGATGGCCATTTTTTGCTTCAGTGTTTCCGTAGTCCGCGTAACTTGGCGAAATTTCGGTGTGGCGGTGATGCGAGCGTGTCAGATCGTGTGCGTAGACTGCATAGCAACCAGGGGAGCGGACTACGCGCGGCCGTGCCGCGGGGGAACAATGCAATTACACGCACGCGCACGTGCTGCGACTGCGAAGAGTGACGCCGGGAATTTTGCGTGCATTCGCGAAACGCCTGCCCTCAACAAAGTAGACGATTCCGCGCAGTCTATCTTTATCCACGCATTTAGCAGAAAGGTTTGAAGGTTTCCTACGCGATAAGCTTTCTATCTCGTTTACTCTACAAAAAAACACTCCGTCAAATTCTTCGTGATCCAGATACAGTGAACACTGTGAAACTGGTGGTAAATTACAGCCACGTTCAAGCGCCCGAGAGATATGTGGCAGTAGGCATAACGCCAATACTTGCATGAAAATTGCGGTAAACAAAGCCAAAAGCGCGTCGAACGACTGTGTCTTTCCTGACCTTATTTATTTTATATGTTACAGATCATCATAGATGTCCGAAAGGATAAGGCTGGCTACACAGCATAGAAGTGTGACGATTGCACCTCGCGGCCACACGGAACTGCGCTGCAAAGCGATGGTAAATTTTCTTTTCATATTGAACCCCATTTGGAAAATATCTTGTAACAAACATGTGTTATTCCTAATTCTAAGTAAAGATCAAGTATAGTCTGCCATCTCTTATGTTTCATTGCGTGTTAAATAAGTATTCCGTAAGAATGACAGAAAAAAGTAGCTATGGAAGTTTTCTTTGACGATGAGTCGCAAATCTTGCTATCATTATAATTATTTTTATTTCATATCTTCAACCTTACCCACCTACATGTTCTGGGAAGCCACGATTTTGTTGAGCACACATTGATAGGTTGCTTATACGTGTTTGAGAGGTCATTCTTGCGTTGATAACATTTTTATTTAACAAGTTTTATTCTACGGAACAATCCTTGTCGAGTTATTTGTAATGGGATTCGGTGGAAGTGGTCTCATACATTTATTTATTATGATACGTAATCAAATCACATTGGAACAAGGAACACATAGTACGCAATTTTAAGCGAGGAGCTTTTCCAATATAATTTTTATTAGAAATATCTAATTGTGAGACAATTTATCTTTGAAGCAGTGAACAGTAAATTTCATAATACCTCAATTTTAATTTGTGGTAATATTTAGAAAGTCCAAAATTTATAATTATTTATGTATTAATAGCAAAGAATTGTTAAATATTAAGCATAATAAGTAAGAAATCGCTATTATACTCCTAACATTGAATAAGGAGATACGAAAGAAAAGAAGTTAAGTCATCTAAAGACACAGTAAATAAAATCTTAAATATTGGTGAAATATGGTAAATAAAATCCAATCATTCTTTTGAATTTCACTTCGAGAAAATATGCATTTATAATTAAAATCGTGCCGGCGTGCTTCGCAAGAAATCGCCCATGTTTATAACCGATAAAGTGGATAACAAACCATTTAAAAAAATGTCAAATCATTGGCAAGTTTCCGAACAAATATCAATAGCTGCCTAAAATTGGGAAAATATACTGAATTCACTTAAGAATTTTTGTAGAATCCCGAAATCAAGATGTTCGCGAAAACGAAAACAGGTATTTGGTAAAGAGCAAGAGCTGGCAATGGCAAATTACAGCCACGCACACACATGCAGTTCCAAACAATAGCACCGACCGGTAAAAGTAGACAGTTCTGGGGCTTCATTGGTGCGACCGCATTAACGCCAGACCGGTTCTTCACCATAAAACCGCGCGCGTTTTCTGCCAGTCCCCAACCCGGCAACACTCGCCACGGATATTCACTGTTGGCCACACCTACGAGTGCTTAATCCATCGTTCCAAATGTAAGCAGCAATATCTGATTAATCCAAATGATTGCGACGATATTTGCCTGAAAGGGAAGTTTCAGGTGCACTGAAAGAATGGTAGCAACGAACTAATTCGCTTGTTCATCGACAACCTTCGCCTGCTTACTCGCAGCAGGTTCTCGCTTTCGCCAACGAAGAATCTGCGAGGCCGCAATACGCAGTCGGTCGCGTACGAGAACCGGGCAGCAATAGCAAGGAAGGGGGCAGACAGACCGCGTGACCTAAATTCTGCCATTGCAGGAACTCTCATTTCTCACCGTCTTGCGAGAAAAGTGCACTTGCCTGCTCTCTATGGACGTTGCTCTGAACAAGATTTCGCCACGTGAAGCACATATTAGCGCATTCTGGCGAGCTTTCTAAAAAGACATTTCATATGCAAAGGACATTGAACCAAAAAAGAATTCACTGTGCACATTTTTCATTGAATCGTTGCCAATTGGGGCAAAAGGCTATATCCAGGTCAGAAAACTTGAACCAACTTCTTGTCCATAAATACGAACCAGCTACAATTATTAAAAATACTTTCAACTTCAACCTCTATTTTCTTCAAATCAATACAAAGGCACTTCAAAGTACTACCAATCTTCCAACATGCTACAAACTTTGTATGAAGTTATGCAAATCCATTATTTTAACTTTCCATATTTTTTTCCACTTTGGGGCTAAATGTCAGTCCTGCATTTTACCTACCAGGCAGAACAAGGCAGTCCATGGGATGCTGTTGTCTGGTAAGTATTACAAGTCAAATAAAATATCAAAACAATATTTTCAATACAATGTTATTTATTCACATTATTTATATTATATATTTTACAATTATTTTGAATACATACAAGAAATCTTATAGGCAGTTCTGGAAAGATATATTATATCATAATCCATAAAATAATATGACAAGGGTCTCTGTTATCACACTTTAGTTGTACAAAAGCACAACCAATTGAAACAAGCATTCAGTCCTGTTTCACTTATTGGAATTGTTGATCACAATTCTTTGTGATGCAACACAAAACTTCTTAGAAATACCTGGAAAAGAGTTTTTACAATAATTTATTAGAAAATTGATGAAAACAGTATGCATATAAAATTATTTTGATGACTACAAAGAACTTTATCAGGTAATAACATAAGAATGTCACTTTTTCTCCTAACAGTAATTAATTTCAATAGATGTTTCAGCCTGAATAAAAATTTTAAAATTAAAATTGAAAATGTGCTGGTGTGAATACTTCACACCTCAATGTTTTATTTTCTGAAAGTTCTCCTTTCCCTAGCCAAAGCCACAATACTCAAAACCATCTGTAAGAATTGAACCAAGAACAATTCCTAAGTGAACATTTTGCAACTTGGCACTCAGACCCTAAATGAAAAGACATGTCAGTAATTAAGTAATTAAATACATTACAGGAATAGCATAGGAATCAATGTATGTACACTAATTTACAACCATAAAGAAAAAATAAAGAAAAGTAAATTTTTATGAGTCATAACTTTTCAAAAAACATTCAACTGTTCTGTTTGGGGAGTTTTCTTCTGCCAATTATATTTTTCTTTTTTCCTTTTTCTCCATTCTGAAAGAAGTAATCCATTTTTTCAAAGCCAGTTCGAATTAAAATTCATGATTTTCTAAATTAAAAGCTTTGTGAGGGGTGAGGAGGGGATGGATTTCATTTTCACCTTATCTATTTCCCCCCAAATATTTCTGAAATCCAATTCTACCTCGTATTATAAGAAACATATTTAGAAAATAAGAAAGCTTATACAGTAAAATCTGTCTGAAACTGAAAATTTTTCCGGACTGTCAAGTTAAATGGGATTTTACAAAGCATAAAACGGAACCTCTCCAATGTGGATGTCCATGTCCTGCAGGGGAAAATCTTTATAAAACACAATTCCAATGAATTTCATTAAATTGGTAGAGAGACTCAAGATGTGATTTAGTCGTGGGAGCCAAACATTACAGGAGAGGTGCTTCCGCTGTCAGCGTAGAGTTCGACCTTGGCGTCACTTGTTTCTCAAAGCAAAGGCCTTAGGGAAATTCCCTCTCTCCCACGTCTTAGCATGGGAAGGTGTACGGGCATGGCTGCTATTCAGGTGTCTCTCAGCCCCATGTTGAAAATCATAACCCCTCCACCAGTTATGCCTTGCTCAAGGCCACGCGATAGTATCACCAAGTCATAGTACTGGGTTGTGATACATTGTGTATTGAGTCAGCAAGCTATCAAAAGACAGCCAGTAAGGAGGATATATTTCAACTCAGAAGCTGCCAATGAAGAATGTTTAATATTATTTTATTGGTATTTTCTTTCGTAACAAATTAACAAAATACATTATATGTTAATGTATTTTGATAATTATAACAAATTCATGTAATTTACTACTTTCAGGATAGAAGTGTCCCTATCACAAGTGTCAGAAAATGAACAACCTTGCTAAACAGAAACCTTCCTACACTGGAAAAACTGGTTGGATCTCGATCGATTCCAACTTAGATTTTACAGTACATACTCTAGTTTACAGATTTTAATTCAAATTAAGAATGACCCCTGATCACTTTGATATAATTACTAATTAATACCAATAATTTTAAAATGGGCCCAATGGTTTTATTATAAAAAACATTAAAATTAATTTTCATATTCTATGTATACTTACAGCGGCACGTGAATTTAGCATTGAACCCTTTCTCAGCTGGAAAAATGGGATATAGTGCTTCGGGGAGGAGTTTGCAATCCACTCATTTGGGCACATTCATTCACCAGCTTGTTCAATTCGCTTGCACTGTATCCCATCAACTCCTTTAAGTCACAGATAAATTTGTACACAAATCTCTTTCCATGTACCTGTAGTACAGAGAAACTAATTAGTAAAAGAGTAACTTTATGGAAATATAAAATAACAATGAACACCCACACATCATCTGATCTTCACTTTAGTACTTTAGTACACAAATTTGGAAATCAAGTCCCAAATTTTTCAATTAAATACTTTCACTATCAAACTTGGTACAAAATTCAAAATTTTTTACAACAGATTTTTCCTTTCCAACCTTCCAGAAACATACTGCACTGACCGACAATTTGCGATAAAATGCTAAATCGATAACAAAATGCGAAATCATCTACAAAGTGCGAAATTGTAATGAATCTGTAAAATAATTGCTAAATGGTATTTTTTGGTTTCCTTCATGTTCACTCACTAATTAGTGATGTGAAATCGACAATAACACATCAATGATTAAATACATAGAATTTTGTGGCAGTGTTTATTAATTTATAATTAAGATTTAACTGTCTAAACATAGTGAAAAAATAATAACAATACAGTCCTGAAAGCCCAAGCGCTCAGGGTCATCTCAAGGGGTCTCAGCTTCCTCAGTTTGCTCTACAGACGGTCAAGGGAAGAAGAGGAAGGCCCTACGACTACAGCGCAAGCATTACTTCTTATGCTTTTAAAACTTTTATATTTTATTATTTCAATTTCCTTATTTCAAGGTCAGAAGTAGTGAAATATTAAATTAGTAAACCTTATTACATGATTTCAATGGTAAACTCTGAATAGCAACAATGTTATATATAATCCTCCCTTAATAATGATTTTTTCTCAAAACATGTTGCAAAAGGTTAAATGTTAAATTTTATAATGCTATAAAATTGTAAAGGTTTGTTTTCAAGAAGCAATTTTTTAAAATTTGAAGTACTAAATTCTACCATCACTAATCACCATCATTACTCCTGCATCATCACTTCCAGGAGGTCCTACAGAAACATCATTACCCCATCATCAACCAGAAAATCCCAAAGGTGATACATTTTCAACACTAGCTAGATAGTTGGGTCCAATTTAACTGATCTGGAGAATTCTAGCAGCCAGCTGCTTTGATCATCAGTTTTCTATAGTTTCTACATTCAATAACACGCAAATGTTGAAGGAGTACCCTAACGAAGGGGCTACGGATCTCACACAATCTTTCCTTTGTCATGCTTCCCCACTCCTCTCTCCTTACTCTCACTCATTTATTTCCTGCACATTAGGAACCTAGTCACTGCTGAGAGACACCCAGAGGAGGGAAACCATGTACTCCGACTCATAGGTTGCTATCTGGTCTTGCATACCAGCAACCTTTCAAGGTATAACTTGCATTACACTTACAGGTCTAATGACCTCAGTAGTTGCTGTTTGAGAATTTATTTCTAAAGACAGTATTACTTACCTTAGCAATCATATCACCATCATAATAATACCTAAGGGCCCTACTCAACTTTTCGTAATTCATGGTAGGTTTATTCTTTCTTTCACCCCACAACTGTGCAACCATTTCTGGGTTGTTTAACTTAAATTCTCCATCATTACCAAGCCACTGAATTACATCACGATACTCTTTGTCAGTTAGCAATTCTAAAAGGAACTGCCACAATTGAATCTGTCCATTGTTACCTGAAACAAAGTAACATACTCAAAAGTTTTTCCAAACAGGCTAAAAATCTAAAAATTTGTTAATGGAAAATCAAATGGGTTAAATTATCCTAGGAGAATTCAAGGTACTAATACAAGAGTCAAAATAGTTTATTTTCGAGAAGAAAAAAGTCATGGACAAAGAGTTCTTCCACAACAGTGGGTCTTTGGAGGAGTATGCAAAGAATCTTCTGAACGTTTTTTAGTAGCAGTATAAAATAGATCTGCATCTACTTTGTGATCATTCATTCAAGAACACGTTAGACCGTGAAAACTATTATCACTGAAGAATGGAGGGCATAAAAAGATATGAACTGGGATATCCATATAACGTAGTAAATCATACATACAATTTTGTTGTTCCTGACACTGGTGTTTATACGTTTTAGTTAGACAGCACTTTGAGACTAAGAACCGTCACAAGGTGCGAACTCATTGTGCAATGATGAATTTTTATTTACATGCATTTATGTGGCAGAGGAGAAGCACAGGAAATTATTTATTTGATGAAATAATAAATGATATTGCAGAATTTGAGCCTCTGTCATCATCTAAGCAGAAGTAATTAGTGAGTTTTTAAATGAAATTTTTTGTGGTTTAATGGCTTTGTTTGCATTGTGTGTATCTCTTATTCAATGTGTAATTGTCATTATGTGAAATATACACATAGTTTTGACATTTATGTTCCCAAATAATTAGTTTGTGCCCCATTTCTAAGCATCAAGGAAAAGATTTAATGAAATATTACTTGGTTTGGCCTCCATCATCATCAAAGCAGTAAATAGCGAGTTTTTAAATAAAATTTTTAGAGAGAACTATTAAAGTAGCAATATAAAATTAGTTGTTATATGGGTTAGCAGGGATTTGAGGCACTATTAAATTATTAATAGTATTAATAAATTGTAGTAATAATGTGTGTGTGTGTGTGTGTGTGTGTGAAACGTATGTAAAACTTATATTTAGATATACTGTGTAAATGTTAATTGACTTATATGATGGTGTTTATCTGTTCACATTGTTGAGAACTGACTCCTTTCTGGCGTATTAAATTGTTGGAGTCACAGGAACATAACGTTTCAGACAGTGAACTGGTATACATATAATGGAAAAGATCATGGTTTTCTCTTACAGATTGTTATACAATGAGAAGAGGTTTATATCTCAGTTTCAAAGATTTTAGCATTATCGTAATTTCCAAATTGTGCAACATTCATCTAAGACTTCATTTGAAATATTTATTCTCTTTATCAAACCACCAATAGTTAACTTTTCATAGATATTGAAAATGAACAAGTCAGTATTTGATTGCCCATGCTATTCTGAATTTGAGCACGAAATACAGTTCCTCAAATTTGGAATGAATCTACTCATGAATAGATTGAATCTTTGATTCCTTAGTCTTGCATACTGTGTTATTTGATCAAGAAAATATCTGGAACACTTACTAAAAATAACCCCTATCAATGTCTCTAAAGCATCTGAATACTCCATTCAATAAATAATTAATAACAATAATTTAAATGTGATTGAAATATAATTACAATTAATTATCTTTACTTATGCATCCTTGTGAACAAAAATATTGTTATGCACTAATGTAGGGTCTCATAGCAACACTTAAAGGACATTAGAAAAGAATGTATAGTTTCATCATAATTCAGAAAAAAATCTCTTTTACATCTTTTTTGGTAAAAGTGAACTTTAATAAACAAATACCTGAATGACATTGTCATGATCCTGATTTTGGACAAAATGAATTGAAGTGAATTCCATACATAAAAATATTCTTTGAGCTTGTTCTTTTCTGTTGATTAGTGGCATAATAATTTCTTAAACAAATAATTTGAACTTACCAGTACGATTGCCACCATTTGGTGTAGCCGTTTCCATTATATTTAAAGGAAGACCAATAATTCGAGGCAATTTGCCAAGTTTAGCTCCCTTAATTGGTCGACCTCGTATTGTATTATCAGACTTATTCACAACCTGAGTGTTCTGTTCTTGTTTCTGATTAACAGCTGCAACCATTTACATCAAAATGCATATCATAATCATAAGATATAGGCAAAGACATCAATATTAACTTTTATAAATTCACAAAATTAAAAATAACCCACAAAACATACAACTCACATACAAACAATTACATAATTCAATTTTGAAACGTAAGTAATCTAAACACACACAGACTCACAGCTGCTTGCAAATTTTCCTTTGAATAAATAATAAAAGTCTCAAATCGAATGTCAATGATGATTGTAAAAGAAGCGCCAATTGATTATTTAAAATCCGCTCTGCAAAGATGGCATTTCAGCATGTAACAGTTTCATGTTCGCGAGATAATTTTTAAATATTTCCATGAAATTTATTCTGTGTTACTTGATTGTATTACAAACCACTAAAAGCAGAGTTGACAAAAAGAGGTTGAATTTTAATTGTGAATTACATGGAGGTTGAATTGTAACTGATGAATAGTAACTATTATTTCATTTTCCATCACTAATGTTCAAATGAATGGGGTGTTGCTATTTATTAGAAGTGTGCAAATCAACTTGACAGTAGACAGTTGTTATTTCAGCAGTTAAAACAATACACAATCTATGTGGCCGGATGTGAGAGAATTGTCAGCACACACTTGCAAAAGCGCCATATTACAGTATCTTTTGTTTTTTCCTTCAAAAATTACATAATTACTTGATTAACATTGACATAAATGTAATTTTTTGACATTTCTCTAATGTTAATACATTATTATTGATTATACATTACATGAAATTATCAACGAAATGCATACATCATTCCATATCAATGTAAGTACTTAAAATGGTGTCAAAGCTTCCCAAAAATCCAGTTTTCATTATAAATGACCCCATAATTGCACCTTTTCAGAAACGCTCAACACTGTTTTCTCCAAAACAGCTCCAATTTCATTTTTTTTAAACGAATAGTGCAAAATGCACTGTATATGATGCATTCTTGCGTTCTCATAAATTACACAAATATAATTTTTTTTAAATATCTCACACAATAAATATGTACAAACAGGCATTTCTTTTACATTAGAGCATTTAAGTGTACAATATCTTCTAAAAGTTTACAATGTTTCTCAAAACCTGTAAAGTATTAGGTAAAAACGTGCCTCAATTTGAGCATTTTTAGAAACCCTTGAATGACATTTACTTAAAATTCCCAAATTTCCAAATTTTGTTAACAAGCCTATGAAATTAAACCATTAAATAATGCTAAATTAAAAAACTATTTTTATTGGTGAGAAAAAGCACATTTTAAATATTCACAAATATGCACATTTTAATTGACAAGATTGAATTTTCAAAAGTGTGAGCTACATTAAATACATAGGGCTACGGATGAAAAATATATTAAAGCAACCGAGAACTCTATAATGAGTATAATGTAAAGTCATTTTGGAATTTTAGACATGATAAAACAAATTTTCATCATAATTTACCGTTCAATGTTACTAGATGGGATTGATGCAAGTACTGGTGATGATGGGGTTAACTTATAAGCTAAATACTTCCAGTCTAGTTACTCTCAGGCTAATTGACAAATAACACATCACCATAATATTAGTCCTAGAAATTAATATTTAGCTTATTTTAATTTACGTTTCTGCCCCATTTTGAGAAAATTACTACAATTGGAAAAAACACATAGTAGGGGACCTGATAATTTTCCTAAGAGGATTCTTAAAGACTGCTCATGCTTCTGCTGTCCCACTTTCTACCATTTTTGAGAAATCTCTGGAGACTTTTATATATCCCACTTGTACGAAAATTTGTTACATAACTCTTGTTTATAAAAAGGGAGACAGAAATTTGGTAACTAATAACAAACCTATCAGTATATTATCAAGTGCAGCTAAGGTTTAAGAGAATATAAGTTTTGGATAGTCTTAAGCCTTTTATTAAAGATAAAATTATCGATTACAGGCATGGTTTTTTGTCTGGAAGGACGATCTCTTTTCTTACACTGACAAATTTGTTAATGTACTAGATGAGAGCTTACAGGTTCAAGTCATATACACTGATTTTGCACAAGCATTTGATAGAACAGATATTAACAAATATGCAAACTAAAATTTTAAAATTTAATTTATTGAGATTTAAAATTTTAAAATTTAAATTATTGAGATTTAAATTATTATTATTGAGATGGTTTGAGAGTTATTTGACAAATCACAAACAGATAGTGAAATATAAATCACATGACTTGTACTATATCGGTAACATCTGAGGTCCCTCCGAGATCCCATCTGGGCACATGGCTATTTTTGATATTTGTCATCGATAAATGTGAAGTTTTTCAATATTCTAATTTTAGTCTTTTTGTGGATGACTAAATTTTAGCAAGTGATTTCTGACTGAACTGACTCATTTCAACTGCAGATAGATTTAGATACATTGAATTTATGGTGTTCCAATAACTCATTAAATCTTAATATAAAAATGTACACTTCTTCGTAGCAATACTAGTCAAAATAGGATTGATAATAGTTATGTGCTAGATAACAATATTTTGGAAAACGTTACTACCGTATTTGACTTGGGAGTAATTATAGATAATAAATTAACTTTTGATAATCATATAAATTTTATTTTTAATAGTTCATTGAAGGTGCTTGGATTTGTAAAAAGAAATCCCATAAAATTTAAATCTATTAAAACTATTTTAAATTCTTCAGTTAGAACAAAATTGATGTACTGTTCACTAGTTTGGTCTCCTCTGACAATTTAAATATAAAAAAGGTGAACAAATACAATACATTTTCTTCACTTATGCAGCATTTAAAGCACATTTAACAACCCCATGATACTTGCATGATTATTCAGAAATTGCAATAATAATAATAATAATAATAATAATAATAATAATAATAATAATAATAATAATAATAATCCATATAATGTAAGATCTAATATGTTCCTGGAGCAATTTAATTTTCAAACTATTTTTATATATTCTTCTGCTATACTGCGTTTGCTAGAAGTGTTAATACATTTTTGTCTAAGGAAGATTTATCCATAAACTTGAACTGCTTTTAAAGCATCATTAAACAGCGTGGATATGAATATAATTTATCATATTTGACTGATTTTCATTTGCAGTGATTTGAAGCACTTCCATTCAAAAATATAATAATGTATAAAAATTGCTGGAAATGTATAAAGGTGGGAGACATATTACAAATAGAAAAAAAGAATACAACAAAATGAATTTAATGACACTTAAAAGAGTGCAATTAGCACTATCTATATGAACAGCTTTCAGAAAAAATTTGGAGTGGTTTTTGAAAAAATCATGTTTGAGAATTTCTGAAAAAGGGGAATTTTAAGCTCACTTTCACAGAAAAGTTTTGATTTCTCAAAAAAACTTTATAAAACATTATTTGAAGTACATGTACTTGAAAAATGCAATAACGTCAACAAATCACTGCTAATGTAAATATTAACAACTGAGAGGCAATACAAAAACTCAAATTTTTGAAAAAAGAAAAGAAGAGAGCAAAATGGCGGTAATATCTCATAGATCTCATACATTTATCACTACCTCCAGCAGAAGTTTAAAGAAAGAATTTGGAGCAGTTTTTGAGAAAATCTTGTTATTGTTATTTTATAAAATTGCACATTTTGTGTGAAAACTACTAAAAAATTGGAAGAAATGTACATGACCATAATAAAAGAACTAATTATAGAGAACAAATTTCATAAGTAGGGAAATTCTCTATGTTTAATTTTGTAGTTGTAGGAAGACCCTGAAACAAATTCAAACATTTCCAATTTCTAAAAATTCAGAGTTAACAGTGAAAATTGGAGCTACGCCATCTTCATCAGTGTTTTTTTTCTCTAGTCTTACAAGAAATTTAAAGTCAAAATTTGGAGCCAATTTAGGGAAATTTTGAAAATATTTTAAGGGCTCCGAGTACCCCCAAAAAATAATGAAGAAATTTCAAAATCCTAGAGCTTTGATTCAGGCCTGATCTATTACAGGTTTATTCAGTTTGGAAAAAACATACAAATAGTTTACGTTATGTGCTAGTGTTCACATAGACTGGAGGGACGTTTTGCCGCCAATCGATTTGTCAGTATCAAGGACCCATAAAACATGGTTTCTGTCTACACCACGATAGAGGATTTCCCCCCTAAATTTATCAATGGGGTTAATCCACTTTTTCATTATCTGGGCCCAGCAAAATAGTTTTTCTGACCATTTTTACACAGCATTACATAACTTTCTCATTACTGTGTAAGCAGTAGTGCAAATGTAAACTAGTGGTGCTACAGAATGGCACAGACTTTCCCATATTACTTTCTTATTGCCTTTGGTCTTGGCTAGCTATTTGAACTTGCCACATACTCTTGCCTGCTACCTTCTATCACCGCCCAAAGTACTTTTTTTTTTATTTTCTTAATTTTTTAGTTTCTAATAGTAGATCGGAAATATTATTTTAAGAATATTTCCGAATAAGGAACAGTAAATCCTTGTCCAAAATAGTACTTTTCTTTGAAAATTTTTTAAAGAAATTGGCTAAGTGCTACAGTAAATTTTGAAGCTTTTTCACAGGAAGCACTTTAGCTCACAAATACAATAGTGATTACAAATTGCTAGAAATGTGCATATTACCAGTGTGAGAGATCTTTCACAAAAATTACATTTGTATAATTTTTGAAAAAACAAAAAATATCCAAAAAATGAACTTTACATTACATTAAAGAATGCAATTTGCTTTATCCTTTTGAAATGTTTTAAGAAAAAGTTTGGAGCCGTTTTTGAGAAAACGGTGTTTGAGCATTTCTTATAATATGAAATTTTGAGGTAGTTTTGACAGGAAACTGTTGAGCATTCGAGAAGTTTTATCTGACATTATTTAAAGGAAATGTATTCATAAATATAATAATGTGAACAAATTGCCGCTAAAGTACATAATAACATCATGAGAGACATGTCAAAAAAATTCTTTTGTGATTTTCTTAAAAAACAAAAGAATAGAGCAATAAGGCATTTATGCCATCTTATAGAGTCCTTTTGGCATGATATATACTGAAAGTTTGAAGCCTTTTTAGAGAAAATCTTATTACTGTAATTGTTTAAAGTTGCATAAATTGCACGCAATATTGCATGAAAACTACTAAAAGTTCCAAAAAAAGACATGACCTTAATGAAAGAACAAATTATCGACAACAAATTTTGTTTCAAGGATAAATCTCTATCTTTAATTTTGTAGTCATAAAACTTTCAAAATTTTCAAAAATTCAGAGTTGGACCTACATTTTGAGAAGAAAAAAGAGAGAAAGAGAGATAAAGATAGAGATATAAATAAAGAGACAGAGAGAGAGAGAGAGAGAGACCAACAACAATACCACCGTATTTCCTTGAAATCTCGAAATTTATTTTTCGTAGCATTACATAACTTTTCCTATACTACGTATATTATTCCATATATACGTATGTATATGGGAAAGTAAAAATAATGGAATGGAGTAGGTTGATATACCACATGCTTCAAACACCAAACCAATTTCAGTTTCAACAATTTTAAAAAAGCAATGAAAAAATTCTAAAAATGTATGAAGAATAGGTGATATGCCTCAATAGAAAGAAGATTCGTTTAGGGGATTTTCATAAAGTGGAAGAGGCAAAAGACTTGTGGCTTAAGGAAGTTAGGTCTAGTGGGGTTCCTGATTCTGGAACAATGATACAAGAAGAAGCAAGACAATTTGCAACACTAATGGATGTCAATAATGTTCACGCAAGTCCTTGTGGGCTGTTTCATTTTTGAAGCAATGTGGTATAAGTTGGAAGACTGTTGTTGATGAAGCTAAAGATGATGACATGATCGCTGTTCAATAATGGAAGGAACATCACTTCAAATATCTAATTGAAAAGAATGATCCAAAGATATTTTCAATGCAGATGAAATGGCAGCTTTTATCGTATGTTGATGAATAAAACATGTTTTAAAAGAAAGATAAACACCATTATTTTGTTGTAATGCCACCGGTACAGAAAAATTGAAGCCTATGGTTGTAGGACATTACATAAAGCCTAGATGTCTTAAATGTGTGTTGTCTCTACCAGTAATACAGCCAAGAAGAAAGTGTGGATGACCAATGAACTTTTTGCAGTCTGGCTTCTAGTATATTGCAAAAAAGAAGAGAAAAATCCTGTTGTTGGTACATAATTGCCCTGCTCATAAAGTAAACTGCAGGTTGGAAAATATCCATAGAGAATTCATTTCTCCCTTTCTCCCACCCAACTACTCTTCTGTACTACAACCACTAGACCAGGGAATTATTCATAAAGCAATGGTCTACTTCCATAATGCAGCGGCAATGAATTAATGGTTAGTGTGAACTGGTATACCCAAGTTTGCAGGTTCAAAGCTGTGGATTTTTAAGGGCAAAAAAATGTTTCATATGCCTTCCTTTGGAGGGAAAGTAATCAAAGATTCAAAATTGAGTATCGAAGTCAATACACGATCTCACGCCTTATGGCTCTGTCGATCTCTCGAAATCCATTCTCATATCCAACCAATACTAAACAAGAATGTCTCACAGACAACAGAAACTCTTATTTTACTCATGTTTACGTTAGACATTGTGAATACTTCAATCTATCACTTATGTTAATGTTTACACCTATGTGTTATGCTCGTTTAGGTCTTCATTGTGGATGAGCCTTTATGGCCTGGGTCTCGCTGCGTAAAATAAGGCATAAATTCATTTCAATTCAATAAACTACTGGATTAGCAGATTCTAATCAACCTTAGATGGAAAGTTTCAACCAAAATCCAATATACTGTAAGGGGGTGATGGATAACAATAACTGTAATGATAACAGGGGGTGGTGGATTGTGAAAGCAACAACAATTTCAAATTGTTGGAGACTGTCAGGAATATTGGATTTCCAAGACAGAATTTTGCCAGAGGTAGAGGATGGTGAAGATCATTTTGCTTTGTGTACGTTCCAAAGACAATTCTCAAATCACTATTTGAGGTAGAATTGTTTGTGAAACTTGCTCAAAAAGATAAAACAAACTTCCATCAGACAATATTTTAATGAGTGATATGTAATTTTTTCATTAATTTTGTGTATTGGCCAAACTATTTAAAATAAATCACTAAAAATTGTGTTTTGAGTATAAAGTACAAATAAAATGGTTTTATGATGTACTTTACACTGAGATTTCACTGCACTGGTATTTTACCTTGTGAACCTTTTCAATAATTAGACAAAGAATTTTTCACTAGGAAAAATTTAAATCCACAGAACTTGTTTGAAGTCATGATACAGTTTAACTATGATAGATTAAGAGAAAATAATCAAAATACTACTCAACATTAATCCATTTTGCTCAATATAGATTATAAGGAGAAAAAAAAGTTTAAATTATCTAAGGCATTTTTGCATTTATACAATCAGGAAACAACACTCCATTTTTAAATAAAAAACAAACTAACAAAAACAAAAGATCTTACCAACAAATTTGCATTTACGAAGAAGCTCCAAGTGAGTCCAGAAGAGATCATTGGGATCCATGGGAACTCGCTGCTGAAAATCAGGCAATGTCATTTCACAAAGCTGGCGTCCTGATATGTTCCAGTCATATAACTGAATGCCAACTAAGTTGAACTGACGAACTGCCCATTGAAGCCAATGGCGTACATGAGCAACTTCCCATTCCATTGGATCTGAAAAGGAGCATTGTGAAGGCAGTCACAAATAGCAAATATACATTATTTCACTATACATCAAAAAAGATTCTCAATTGTGAACTATTAATTTACCACCAGGAATCTTGAGCCTCTCTTGATCCTTTTTAAATTGACCATCCACAACCCATCGAATAACATTTTGCTTGGCTTCTGGGGATGGCACCTTCTTTTCAGAGGGTGACAAGTCTATGAAAAAAAATAAAAATATTTAACAACAGTGCAGACTATTTTAAGAACAATATCACACAATTTTTCATGCAATACTAACACAATAAATACAAAATTGGTTTCTCCTAAAACAATTACATACTCAAATTATATTGTACGTGTAATATGAGATGAAATTAACAAACTTATGTGCAATAAAACATTAATATAACAGTCATAATCATTGCCATTATTCATTAGTGTGGAAGCCAGTACCCACAAGATCTTACACCCCCTTGACAGTTATTAACACTTACATTCAAGTCCTTTCACTGACTGTGTACTACTGATATCTCTGCATTTTTCAACTTTCGTTGAACTGCAGTGAAACCCTATTTAGAGTAATCTTGGAAGCCCGGATTTTTAACCCCAAATAAAGGTTTACACTAAATGGAAGTATGGTCATTTCAATAACAGAAAGCACTTAAGTTAAATATAGCCCGGTGGCCACAAATTTATACAAAATATTTTTATTTAACTGATTGCATTGGAAAACAGAACATTGTTCTTAAAACCTCTCCCACTAAACACAAATCTTTTAGTCTGTCATTTAACACATCTGCTCAGAAAACAACTTTTTCCTTGGCTGAAAACAAACTTGTGTAAGCCCATGCTTAGTTTGCCCCCATAGAGTTTCTCTTCTGTTCTATGTCATAAAGCTGAAAAATATTATAAGATATACAATGCAAGATAGACACAGCAGTGTAAGTTGGATGAGGTTCTAGTGAAAGAAGCAGACATAATTCACGCAAGAAACGCACAGTACTGGAAGTGATCATTACACTCAAAATATGGCACATATGACTAAATACTACAAAAATCTGACTAATGTGACCTCAGACAGCTACAAAAATGATGGAAAATGTAACAAGTTCATTAAATAATTTGTTTCACATATTATGTCATCAACCCTCTATTAGAGCTTTCGGATGAAAATTTCTAGTGTGTATCATATGGATGTATTTTTTTAAACCATGTCATATCTCAACTACTACTAAGTGGAACACAATTCGTCATCTCTGTAAAATAAAATTGCTCTTTAAAATTAAAATGCTCTTTAAAAACTAAAACAAACATTCTGAAAAGCCAATTTTGATTTTGTTTTGAAGAAAATAAAAACACCATTTCTCAACTTATCAAATTTTAGTGAAATAGAAACAAGGAAAGCTTTGAATTTCATAATTTTTTAAACGTTAACAAAGCCATAGTTTTGTGTTGGCACAGAGGATACCCAGGGTTTGAAATTAAATTATCATCATTGAAACAAAGTAAACATGATTGCATCAATTCAGCTGCAGTTTAAATAAAATTGAATACAATTTTTACAATAAGTAACTGGGATAAGGATTCCAGATGGAAATAAAAACTTTTTACTTCCTTATTGTATTGATTTCCAGTTTCCAATATACTTTATTGCTTGGAAGAGGTCCTCTTCTGAGAATTTGTGAACATGTTCCACTGTTTCCACAAGTTCGTTATCAACTTCACATTGGAGCTAAGATGAGTCTGTTGGAAGGATATGCGTTCTTCCCAGATTCCTGCCCAAAAGGTTTTAACGTAATCTTTGGCAGGAAGGAAAGAATCGTCCTTCGTTTTTGAATCAGATTGTCATATAATGTCTTTGCTCTAATTCAAACAACCGATTCTGAACACAGAAATGTACTCTGCATTTGTAACCTTTAATGCGTTGAGCCCTTCTTGTATTTTCTCTTTTAGATTTTTGGCTACCATTAGCATCGTTTGTATTTGAATGTAATATTTTCAACATGGTGTATTTTTTATTGAATTTTAAAGGTGTGCATTTGTTTAAAGGTGCCTTGACTAAGAGTGATATTTCACGCCCAGTATCATCTATCCATTTCATACATGAAGATACCGAGCTGATTACTCTGTTAGGCTGTTGGCCATCAGTGTTCTTGGCTGGGCTGCAAAACTATCTGAGAAACCAAAGATCCAATTGCATACAGGATGTGATTGATTTCAGTAATATCTAACGGGCCTGTACCACCTTATTAAAGGCGGAGTTCACTGTCTCTAGTACTCTTTCAGCTTTAGCATTTTCACATAATCTCCTCAATGGTGCACAAGATTCAAATGGAGTAGACAAATGTGTTCTATCTCGTATCAAGGGAGATTTTGCATCATGTCTATATTGTGTGATTCATAGCCTGATGAATTTTCACCACAGAGATAAGTTTCATTGGATAGAGATGGACCTTCAACAATCGTTTACAGGAATATTAAATAGTTCTAAACGTTCATCATGTACTCCAAATTTCTCTGAATGTTGGCTAGTTGTTCTGCTGTGAATTTTCCACTACTGGGTATGTATCCTCATTGATTAGCAAGCTTCTTTGAATCTAGAGTGTGTCTCATCAGGGTTCTGTTCTTTCTAGATATTGTAAATGTTTATTACTGAGCCTCCATTTTTCACTTTTGCATGGTAAAAGCATCGCATCGCATCACATCACCTCCTTGATTACATCCTGGGCCCGCCTCTGACAATGGCTTCAAGCTGCTGCCGCCTCTGGGTCCTTGGGACTAACTTTCAGGGGATGGCCAGACGCTGACATGGAGGCATTAGCTCAGTTTCTGAGCAAGTATAGGACATTGGTAGAACAAGGCAAGTTAAGATTTATTTCACTTTTTGTTCTATCCATTCTACTCCTTGTTTTTAAGTGTAGTTTTACAGGGAGCAAGTTCCGAGTTCATAGATCACACTTAACCCATACATTATTTTCTATCATCTATTACTGCGACCCAAAGTAGCCTCAAGACATACCCCTCATGGCCCAGCAAGGGATTCTTTGATTGCCAGTCGGCATTACTAAACCCTACTGGGTTTTCACTGATTGCAGAAAGCGGTCTCCTTAGCTGGCTAATGCAAGGATCGAGCCTCCACTTTAAATAGAGGCCTGGTATGCCAACCTAGTTTAAGTCCAAAGATCCTTCTCTTTCTACTTACTTCCTGCTATAAATGCAGTTGCCCCTAACATGAAGACAGAAACTGTTTGCAGTTCTTTGAAAATGCCATTGAGGCTCTCCTCTGGACTTCTCACCTTCGACACATTCAGCCAGGGAGGCCCTACCAGTAGCTATGTTATCTCTGACACAGCTCTCAGACTCACACGGGGGACTCAAGCTCCACCACATGTTCATGTTCTTCAAATGTGGAGTTGTTGTTATTAATATTGTTATTGTTGTTATTATAAGCAAAACATTATTTTACAATAACTATCTAACTATGTACAGTTGTTGAAATAATTCCATTTAGAAATTCATAATAGACTTTTCTTAATTTCCAAAAATAAAAATAAAACAACATACAAGTGTGAGAAATATGCCAACTTTTTTAAAAAAAAAATATGACAAAAACACGATCCAGTAGTACTGAAGCACAAAAACAACAAAAGACGGCCCAAAAGAAGCAGTCAAAACTCAGCTTTAGAGTGAAAATGTAATGTAATTTTTATTATCCTTTTGTAGCATCAGGTTTAATGGAACCGAGAGCACGTCTGTCACCATGCACAATCTGAACGAACTAAGGTATTTCGCTGAGTAAGGACCTTCAGCAAATGATGTTTAGAAACATGTGAAATACAATAAAAATTTTCTTACAATTATCTCCTGCAAGTTCAACATATTCTTCTGCTGGTTTGAGAACATCTACTATGTTGATTTTCTTTACGTCTCTGTCAACTTTTATCTGGACATTAATTTGGACCATTCCTTCCCCTTGCACACACTGATCAACTAAATTCTTGTGAGATTCCAACTGGAAAAAAAAAAAAAGAATTTAAATAAAATTTTTGTTCAAGTTAAGAAAATTAAGAGTAAGCATATCAATCCATTTATTTTAAAAGAATTTATTTTTAAATTCAGAATTAACTGTAAAAATAGAACCCTGGCCATCTTTCATAGTGTATTTCATTACATTCTTATAAGAAATTAAAAAAAAATAAATTTGGAGGATTTTTAATCTTCCTTCTTCTTCTTTTCAAAATCACAGGGCTTTGAGTAGGGCCAAAACGATCAGGGAATGTTTCCTTAGGAACCAACAGTTTATGCTATTGTTTTTCACAGATTAATAGAAGTTTTTAAAAAACTGCACTTTTTTATATCAGGGAAATCCAAAACATGTATTTCCATGAAAATCTCTAAACTGATTTCCCGCAGCATTTCATAACTTTGTCTGTATTATGATGCATGTACATTAAATCAGAAACTGATGATTTGAGTAATAAGTTCTGTACAAACAAAATTGTACATGATAAAACACAGATATACTGAGATACACAAGCAACAAGGAAACACAATAACACAACCTTAAATGACAATTATTTATGCTCTAACTTGATCAGTAATTACCATTTGTGCATCTTGTAACCAAAATTGATAATCAGTGAGTTCAACACCAAGACGCTGTTCTAACAGCAATTTTAATGTTGACAAGGGTTCCCGAATGTCCATGTGCTGCATTAGGACACCAGATTCTGATCTGTAAACAGGAACAAAAACAAAGAAAAAGATTAAGTATCTGATTTTAAAAAATAGCTATTCATTGAACTCTAAAATGTGCAACAACAAAATTTACAAAACTATTACCATCAGGTTCTAGAAACAATAATCTGAACCCCAATATTGCGATCATACATACAGGTATGTAACAGATCTTTATCTACATTTGACAACACAATTTTTTTCCATATCTTCAGAAAAGTATTCAAGCTACAGTCAGCTCTTTTATTGAACACAACTTATGAAACAGAAAATGTTTCTGCAAATGTTTCTGATCATATCAACACTTCATTCTGCATAAGAATACGAGTGCTCAAAAAGTACATCACTATTTTGACAAGATTTAATGTGTTAATTTCACACAAGATAATCTTAGAACAATCTAAACAACCATCTTTGATGTATATCTGAACACAGTAGATAGCAGAATAATTCTTTAACTTCACTTATCCACCTCTAGAGAAAATATATTACATCTAAAAATTAAAAAAGGGTACTCCCACTAAATTCCCATATGTTTCTTAGAATTAAATTTACTCCTGTAATGGCAACGGTCCAGAGTTAAGGCATCTAGTCATCAATAGATGTGGTGATTACCAAAGTAATAATTAGTGGTGCTAATGAAACAAGTACTTTCAGCCAAAAGTTCGAAAAATTGTACAGCACCTTATTTCATAATGTATCTTTAAGGAACTCATTTCATTAATAGAAAAAATCCCTATCTTAAACAATTTTGTTGTAGGCAAACTCTGTTGTTGTAGCTGAAAATTTTGAACTTATGCAATTTTCAAAAAAATTAGAGTTTTTAATGAACATGAGACCTGCAGCATTCTCTTAAATGTCCATCACACTATCCAACAACACAATTTAAAGAGGATGGAGCAATTTTATTTGAAAATGTCTCAGGGGCTTCATGTATAGTACCCCCCCCCCAAACACACACATTTAAATATACATTTCAAATTCAAGGGGCCGCGATATCAGCCAGATCGAATGGGGAATATCAATTTTGAAGAATATCAGCTGAATGGTTTAAACGCTAGCATTGTTCACAGACGGACAGATAGATGTTTGGCTGTCATTAGCTTTTCGGTATGAAGGAACAAAAAAACTGATTCTGGCTACACCACTAGAGGATCTTCCCCCCTAAATTTACCAACTGGATTTATCTACTTTTTCATTACAAGGGCCCTGTAATAAGAATATTTCTACCAAAAATTTGCTGTTTATTCATGCAGCATTTCATAACTTTTCCTCTACTTTGTCACGAAAAAGTAAAAAAGATGTGTTTTAAATATTTTGAAGAAAATTAATTAAAATATAGATATATTTTAATGATACTGGGAAAACCCTGCTTAGAAATAACCATGAAACAACAAAATGCCAGAAGCATTGTTAACATTAGCAAGTTGAATTGAGAGCCCGCTGTCACTTGTATCTTAATCAGCCACTTCATTACACGTGTTTTACATATCAAGAAGAAATAGGTAGGTAGGACGGATGTTGGATGTTTAGGAGGAAATCTTTTGAACACCATATGCTATTTAAGCCAAGAAATGATAGGAATGTGTATTTCTATCAATTTACATAATTAAGAATTTCAATATATGTGCACAATAGAAGTTTGTTTGACTGGTAAGTAGTGTTATCTACTTGAATTTTTCTCACTTCTTTTGCATTTGAAAATTTAAGAATATCAAGGTTATTCAAGTTAGTCAGAACCTTATAATCCTTCCAGAACATACAATAATAATAATAATGAAAATTAGTGGCTAATTTTAAATAATTATTTTCATTCATATTTTTTAATTTAATTATTTTCAATTTACCTCTGCAAACAAGCATATTTAAATTTAATACTATAGAAATGAATAACATATTATCAATTTCTAAACAATTTCAATTACCTAAAGATTACAGGAGATTTACGGGGGGAAAATGTGGGCAAATAACATCAGAAAAATTTATGTATTTTGAGAGTATTAAAATTTCCTCTAGCCCTCCACCCAACACTGCATAAGAACAGGCGAAGATATTCGACAAATTTTAATGAAAATATTTACGTCTGTTATCTAGTTTATTTTATTGCAATTTATCAAACTTAATAAAACGTACATTAGTAGAATTTCTAAACAATTTATTTCATTTTCTTTGATGTTTTGACCCTATTTGAAGTCTTTTTAAAAACTATAAAATGTAATAAAAATTGTATTCAAATGATTGAGATTATTTTAATAAAATAGTAAAACATATCTAATTAAGCAATGCTTTAGAAGATAATGAACCATAATAATAAAACAAACGGCTGACGTCTGCTATAGGGTACAACTTAAGGAAGTCGTTTAAACTGGCAGTTCAAGCCACTCCGGCAAGGAGGAAATCCCCAGTGGAGGGGACCAAGGGTGTTACAAGGGGAACCTTTCGATGGGGGGATGAGGGGATATAGTGGTGAGCAATATGCGTAACTTGGTACATAAATATAAAAATCAAAGAGTATGTAAAGCTGCGCGAAGTAACCAGCTTGCTGAGGTCAAAAACACTATGACATCTTTGAGTAGTTGTGGATCTGAAGAATTACAGGTGACATGTCTTATAGCAACAGTGGAAGATATAATTTTACTTCAAAATTAAGTTATAATAAAAGGTTCATGGGAAAATTACAAAGTGACATGACATAAAAAGTTGTGGATTAAAAAGATCAAGTAGGAAATAAATTCACCAAAAATATTAAAACATTCTACCAAGTCTGTTTTATTAAGGCCAAAAAAATCATTGCAATAAAAATACTTAAAAAATCTTGTGATATCCTTGCAAAACACCATCTAGCTACTGACTCATCTAACATGCACATAAACAATATTATACAACAAACACAGAAGTACTCGGATTAAGCATTAAAAAGAATGTATATGGCACTGGCATTTTTGAGTTAGTAGTGTTGAGGAAAGGAAAGTGTACTGTTATATTATAAGAAAAATTACATTTTTAGATTATTCATTTAAGAAAACTTCAGGAAAATCAGGTTCCTGATACTTGAGTTTTACACATCTCAGAAGATTCAAGACAATTGTTTTATAGCCTTATAGTAGTGGTTATAGCAGAAGCTCAAGCAATGGGGTCTGTGGTTTCAAATCCCATCTTGAGCATAGATGTTTGCTTTAGTGTTGCGACACAGCAGGGTTCATCCAAACCAACTGCACCTTCACTATCAAATTACTTGGGGACTACTTGCATACAAGGGGAGTAAGCCTGCTACCTGCCTGCCATATAACTTCCCCTTCTGTAATAGGGCCCAAGAGCAAACAAAGGCTTATGAGCCACTATCAGAAGAGTCAATTTTCAACCATAATGGGCTTGTAATCCAAAGTGGAGCTACCAAGTGAAGGCTAGGGACACCGATGTAAAAAGATATGGGTTTAACACAGGGCAAGGAGCATCATCAATAGCCAAAAAATTATGTGATGTTAAAATACTCCATGACACTATCATTTCATAATGATGATTGAATTATATGGCAATAGTTTTCTCTCTATATGTTCAAAATATTTTACCTCGTGATTGACCAAGAAATTTGAAGTAAATGGTCATGTTAGATTTGATTGGAAAATCCGGATATCTTACATTTCAAGAGCCTCTTGCGATAATTCTTCATCTGTCTTTCCAGAAGCACTCTCCAATGGTGAATGATCATCAACTGAAACAGCTAATGATGTAACAACTTCCTCCTCTTGTTCTAAAACAACTTCTTCACCCATGCTGAGATCGCCTAAAACAGAATTATTTTAGAATGGCACACTGGCACTTTAAAAAAACGAACCAATACTGAAAATGAATTAAGGTTGCCAAATTAACTTAACTTTACCCAACAGAAATGAAACAACTGACTTTAAAACTCCCACCTAAACAAAATCCTTGCAAAAAACAATGAAATGTTTTAATTATTTTTTTCATTAAATTTTAATTTTTTTTTAAGAATAACAAAACTTAGTTTAGTTAAAACATAGTTTTATTACCAAAATAGTATGAAAAACAACAAAAATACAAAACAAAGTAAACTGACAATTAAATACACACTATTTTTTAGTGTCAACTACAATTTCATCAAAACAAACACAAATAAAAATACAATGAGCTGAGTTAGCTGAGTTGAGCTTCACTGTTTTTTTCTCACTAGAGACTCTCAGTGGAAAGTCGTACTTTCAAATCAACTGGCAAATTTTCAACTAGATGTATTGTTACAATGAATTCAGCTGCTATCTGGAGGAGAATACTAGCAGCCAGCTGCATTGACCAGTACATATTTTGCACACCATCCCCTTACATTTCCTTGACCCCTCTTCTTCCCTTACACATATGTACGTCACCAACAAACCATTCACATAATTACAAGCACCACTCTACCGTTCATATCCAAACATTATAGCTTGCCCATCTGGGCAATGCCCCACTGGTGGGAGAAACCTGGAGTAGGGAAATCCCCCACCTACTGACATGTAAGTCAACACGGGATTTTACCAAACAGCGGGGGAATAACACACCACCTCCCGGAATTAAACATTCGCTACACTAGTGATCATAGCAGTTGATGTACTCAGACACGTCAATCAATATCAAAGACAACATAAGTACAAAATCAGTTACAGTAAAATACAAACTTGTTTAGCAATTTTACATGTTACAAATTTATTAATTAATTACCCAAAAATAACAACTTTAATGAAAATTTATGTTGAAATGAGCTTCTAATCTTTAAGCCCAAGGGAGAAGAGGGATCCTTGGATGCACTATATACCACCATAAATACTTAATGAATGTATTTCTATTTTTTTAATGATGAAAATTAGTATTTCATACCAACAATTTAAAAAGTAACATTCTCCATCAAAACACCTCCAACCCCCCCCCCCCAAAAAAAAAAACATACCCACTGGCTCGATTTTTTAAACTGTTTATTTCCAACACCGAATGCTAGGCTTTTCCCAACACAAAACTTCCACGGTAGTAATATAAAAGTTCTCAAACATTAACTTTATTACATTTTTTTTTATTGACATGTCAATGTCATATTTCACATTGATTCTCGTTGTACTTAGTTCAATCAACCTTCCATTCTATTTAACTTATCATAATTCCAGTAAATAAATTATGTAACAACTACCATTAAATATTTTAATACCAACTTGCATAAAGAGTTGATCAGTTTTCTAATATAAAAATGCACGAAGGGATATCCACCAAATCAATATCAATAATAAATGCATCAATAATAAAACTCACAAAATAAACAACCCCTTAACATACACAGAACACAAAGTAGTAATGTAGACAGCAAGTGTAAGATAGTTAATATAAGAAAAATAAATAAATGCCAATTATAGTTTATAAAACTCTGCAAAACAGCCTCATTAAAGAGGCTGTTTTTGAAGCAGCTAAGGAAGTTCTAGGAGTGGAGCAAGAAAAAAGCAAGTTTGTAGAGAAATTTAGTGAAGATTTAGAAAGCATGATTAATGAAAAGAAAAAATTATATTTGACATGGATTTCAAATAGGAGTGACGACACACGAAAGGAATATGTAGAAAAGAGAAAAGAAGTTATAGAATTAGAAAAAAATCGAAAAAAATGAACACTGGGAGAGATTATGTAGGGATATAGATAGTACATTGGGATATAACAGATCAACTAAAGCATGGAAAACAATTAAAAATATGAGAAAAAACTGTAAAAGAAGCAAGGTACAAATAACTCCTATAAAATGGATTGACTACTACGAAACATTGTTGCAAGAAAATAGAGTCGAATACCAGCAAGATTTTGAATGCACACATTGGCAAGAATGGGAACCTGAAATTAGTCGGCTTGTTGTAAAGAGGGCTTTGGTGAGAGCCAAAAACAATAAAGCTCCAGGACCAGGAAACCTTAGAATGGAACCTTTAAACAACGGAGGCTCTAGTATAATTGAATACCTCCAAAATCTTTTTAATAGAATTGAAGTTAGCGGTGATATCCCGCAGGAATGGAATATGTCATACATCAGTTCCATACACAAGAAAGGTGACAAAACTATTTAAGAAAATTACAGAGGAATTAGTGTCAACCCATCAATAACTAGGCTATTCGCTAGTATTCTAAAGGAAAAAATACAAAAAGGAATAACTTTCAGCGAAGAACAAAGTGGTTTTAGGAGTGGGAGGTCATGTTTGGATAACATCTATTGCTTATGCCAGATAATAGAAAAAAATGGAATGCACAACATATATGACATTTACTGACCAGAAAACTGAAGCGTGCATTAAAATGGGGAGGAAAATTACCCCAAGCATTAGAACCAACAAAGGGTTAAAGTAAGGATGTAGTTTATTGCCACTTTTCTATAATATATATATTGAACAAGCTTTGGAAACCTGGTACAAGAAATGTTCTCAAATGGGAGTTCCCATAAATGATAAGTGCTTACATTCTTTGCTTTTTGCAGATGATCAGGTAATTGTCGCATCAGATCGGGAAGATATGGAGTATATTCTTCGCAAATTAAAAGAAGAATACAAAAAATGGGGACTTAAAATCAACCTTAAAAAGAGAATATTTATGCATAGGAGGAGATGCCTCTAATATTAATGTCACTGAAGACGAGATAGCTAATGTTTCGAAATTTAAATATCTTGAGACTGTAATTACTGAAGATGGGAAAATTGATGAAGATGTAACTACTAGACTTGCAATGGGGAGGAATGCAATCAAAGCTCTGCATGGCCTTATATGGAATAGTGTTTTAAGGCAAGACACAAAACGACACATATTCCACAGTAACGTGGAAAGTATTATATTATATGGAGCAGAAATGTGGCCGTTAACAAAACGCCCTAGAGACTGAATGTGGTCGGTAGAGCTCGACTTTATGAGAAGATCTTTGCAAATAAGACTGAATAAAATAAGAAACGAAGTGGTATGGGAAAGAGCTGGGGTTCAAACAACCATAACCAAAAGACTAGAAAAAAAAAGCTCTTCAATGATATGGACATGTCCAGAGGATGCGAAATGAGATGGCCAAAACAAATTTTAAATTGGATACCTGAAAGAAGACGTAGAAGAGGTAGACTTGGTTTAACCTGCAAGAAATATATACATGAAGTTATGGAGGAGAAAGGATTGGAAGAGGGTCAATGGGAGGACCGAGAATTATGGAAATCGAAAACTGCGAACTCTAAGGGGTAGAAACCGTTGAAGAAGAACTCTGCAAGGTGTATACAATGATAAGAAAAATACCTGATTCTTCACCATCTTCTGCAGGAAATTCTGTGACAATACATTCGGCTCCAGGTAACATTGCTTCATCTACTTCTTCAAGATCAGGTTGTTCAAGTTTAATTCTCTTACACAACAATTCTGCAACTTCTGGATCAGTGGAAATAAGTTCGCCATCTACAAACCTTAATCAAAATTCAATATCATTAGTTGTAAATTCTTAGGCAACGGAAACTTCTCAAAAGTTAAGTATACCTTTTTCTAATTTCCGATCCCACAGCGAATGCTTTGTGCCCGTTCTTATCCAACTTGAATATAAAAACTGGGTGTTCAGTCCCCTCCATGATGCAGCACTGCACAGAAATCCCCCCAAAATATATACATATTGCGATAAAAATACATATGATAAATAATTACTCGTTTAAAACGAACATAACCTCAGTACACATACACACACATTCCTACTGCAACTCATTAGTTATTCTAATGAAACAATTTAAATCAATTAGCAGAGTAGTGTTGTCATACCTGCGTTGAATAAGTACCAAAAAGTGACCTTATTAATCACAAAAACTGTTCACGTAAACATGAAATATGGACACTGTATATAACGTATTCGTACTCCACGCCAGTCCCTGCTCCACGCTGCTAAGTCCTGCTAGAGTCCGGCAGTCAGCCAATCCCAAAGCCACTCAGGTTTACAAAACTATTCCAGGACAGCTAATATCATTAATTTATACTGGTTTCTGCTTTTCACCACACCACAGTGTTGCGACCACACCACACTCACCACAAATTACCACCATTATGAACATGTCCAGAATGACGTCATAGACGTCATAATCAGTCATAGCTTTTGGCGGGAAGGTTTTGAATGGTCGGTTTTTGTGTTCACTTTTATGCTATTAAAATATAATAACTTTCGACTTATCAATAGTTGGACGCGATCATCCAATCGAGAGCTTCTTTACACACTTTAATTTTAGATATTGAATCTTTCTTTTTGACAATTGCGACTCATCTAATAATCTGTCAAAGCCACTATGTTTGAATTGGATACTAACTAAGCATTACTATTTTTTTGTTAAATGAACGGTATGTGCGTTTGCCGAGGTTTGAGTTTTGTATCACGTTTGGTGTTTACGGTGATTTTTGCTTCCTTTCGGTTTGTTGAGATTCTGGCCAAGCAACTTTATGTATGATGTAAAGAAGTACTGTTCGAAGTCGAACATATCAGACGCGGATCCACGGGGTCCATCATCATTAAAACAAATAAAATCGTGTCGCAGCATGAGCTGCGATTAGCCTGCGTTATTCTACATAACCTGTAATATCAGACATTCGACCAAAACATTTCGAATAATAAAATATCTTAAATTTGTATTACTTGTTATTTTACGACGTTTTATGCCTCCAATGTCTTATATCTGGGTAGATTTATTCGTATTTACCCATCATACCCACGTTATTTCGACAACATATTTTCGTATTTTATTTCAAAATTCCCTTCAGGTATTTCGCCCTCCCTCAGTATAATGAATATAATGATTTTTTGAACAGTTTGTTAAAAGCTGAAATATTTAATTTCACTTTATTGAATATAGTTTGTAATCAAAATGATTCTGCATATCATACCTAGTGGCACTACCAAAGTACATACTTTCTCGCATTAATTCTAAATGCTCAGCATCATTATCTAATACATAAACCAGCAAACGTGTTTTCAAGCAGTTATTTTTCCGCTCCGAGACTCGAAGTCAAATCCTCCGAGTTAACGTGCCAACACTCTTACCACTATGCCACAGAAGCTCCACATGTGTCGAACTTGGGCAAAAGCATAAAAAGGTAAATGCCCGATTCATGTAAAGAAAACCTGCAATAATCAAAATATCCGTTAGAAACTCCCAAAGCCTCCAGTCTGTTAAGATCAACTGGAGAATATCAATTTTTAAGAAAATCAACTGAATGGTTTAAGAGCTAACGTTGTGTACAGACGGAAAGACAGACAGACAAACAGACATTTTGCCGTCAATCGATTTTTCGCTATGAAGGACGCACAAAACATGGATTCTGGCTTAACCACGTGTTAGAGGATTTTTTTCTTAATTCAGAAAATGGATTTATCCATTTTTTTCCTAACCAGAGCCCGGCAATAATTGTTTTTTGTGTCGAAAATCCGCCGTTTTCCGGCGCACGATTACAATACTTTTTCTTTTTACGGTAGTAAATGCGGGAAAGGAAAATTAATAAATTCTAAAGATATTCATCACGATTTGTGGTAAATATATAATGAATTCGCGGAATTACTTTACTAATATATTTCTTGTTATAAAAATTATGTTAATGAGTATTTAAAACAGTTTTGAAATCTTACAAATTGGGAGGATGTTTATTTTCCGGAAAAGCCCATAAGACATCCTTAACCACGGACGCGCTAGAGATTCACAGTTTCTAGGTGGCGTTTCAATCGACAGTTGTATAACATCTTAAACTGGACAATATGATAATTTCTTTTTTTTCTTCATTTTCATCAATTTCTTACAATATTTGCCTCCGGTATAAAGGAACGATGAAAGCTATTATAATTACCAGTCGGCAGCGCGTAAACTGTATCAACACATTGAGAAAACAAATTGTAGAATTAAGTAAATGCGTGAGAAATTAACAATAGTATAAATAATGGCGTTTTCAATAGTAAATTCAAATTCAAATTAAATTTTTTTCACAACAGAGAATTGTGACAAATAATATTCCCCGAGCAAGGTTCGAAACAGCGATCCTTCCTTCCTCTTCCACCAGGGAAGTACATGGTATTCGTACTTGTATAATAGTAAAACGTGCATGGTGGTTTCAATTTTAGCATTAGGAAGTCGAAAAATCGAGAAAATGTGCAAACAATGTCCTTTAGATGACCAAAGAAGGTGGAAGAGAATCAGGCACAACCGAAAACCTAGTTCAGACTAAAGAGATCAGAAAACTAACTACTGCGAAAGAGTCTGTGCCATTCTGAAGCATCACTAGTTTTATTTATTTATCACACGCTATTACATACGAGGACAAACTTTAATTAAAATATTTTGTATGAGTGTTAGAAAATATTTTTTTAGAAATAGCATAACTTTCAGACACTAATCAAGCGCAAACAGCTAAGTTTTTCCAAAAATTGTTCATGACTTTTTCTAAAGAGCTGATTTTTTAAACAGATTTTGTTTAAACCAAGAATAGCTATTTCCAATTTTGTAGTTTTGTAATGTTAACTTTTTTCATTTTCGAAAAAATGGAGCTATAGCCGACAATGAGACTAGCACCATATATTTTACCGTTTCTTCTTTCTTTTGTGAAGCGAAAATAGCTCGTTTTCAGATAAAATGTTACATAAATTTTCTTAAAGAGCTGATTTATTACATATTTGTTTAAAGAAAAAATCGCTATCTCCAATTTTGTAGGTTTGAAATGGTAACATCTTGCAATTTTCGAAAAACGGAGAGTTCGCCGAAAATGAGAAAGGCACCAAAGTTTTTTCCGTTCCTTATTACATAAGAGGAGCAAATTTAAATAAGTTTTTTTTTAATTTAAGTTTTTTTAAATAAAAGTCTGTGTCATTATGTAGCCCCACTATTTAATTTATGATCTTGAAAATTTCTATTTCTGATATGAAAGGTGTAGCGTCGTGATACATTGTTCTAGTCATTTGAGATGTTTTTGTAATTTGATAGTTCTAGGTAAATATTTTGGACAATGATATTTACTCATTTCACCAGTTCTTCATTAAATCGATTCATTAATTCATCAATATTGTCAATTCGTTTTAAATATACCCTATTCCATTCACGATCATCATTATCTAAATCAAATACAAAACTATTTATTGGGCTGATGTTAATTAATATATTCTGAATGAACAAATAAAGAGGTCAGGAGGTCGTACATGTGATTGGAAGTGTTCTGATATAGTACTATTTATTTTGCATATTTTCTTTCTTAAGTGACCCATTCAGACTCCATAATTGTTGCAAGACGAAAATTTTCGTATTAATATCAAAATAATTGTCTTCAATAGTGTCCTTAAAGCTTCTGAGTGTAAGAACTTATATGAACATTTTAAGTACTACGTGTACCTGAGTCTCGCGTCGGCATCTGAACAGTGCTCATCGCTCATCTAAATACTGTGATTATCAACGTTTTGACTTCATTTCAAGCTATTTTTAAAATAGTGTATAATAAACCGTGCAATAAGTGAGTCCGATAGTTTATGCTCTGGCCTCGGCCAGGACATCGTGGAAGAGGCGACTGAAGAATCAGATAGTGAAACATCTATTGAAAAGCAGCAGCAAATAATCATTCAGCAGCCACAGGGGCAATTAACACAACTACAACATTAACTTCAATTGCTACAGCAAATATACCTTCAACAGTCGCAGCCTTCTAGTAACGAGCCTGCCAATCCACAAGTTACGGGTGTATTTCTACATGTTCATGTAAATGCAGCTGTACTATTCGTATAAGTACAGATTTATCTGGTAATTCGAACATGGCCGAACTTAATGATAACCAAGAGGGTAGGAAGTGAAACGGAGGCCTAAGAGAAAAAGTGAAGGCAAGCTCGAACGTCAGGCAAAGCAAAAACCAAATTTCACTCGAATAGGCGAGGAAATTGTAGAAGTAATTTACCCTGTTAATGATGAAAATGATAAAAATTGTTCTGAACTCAAACCACCGCCTACAACTGTACCTGGTATTACAAATGTACAAAATAAGATTCACTCTCTTCAAAATGTCATATCCAAGTCTGATTATTGTTTTAAACTCACAAATAACAATGACTGTAGAATAATGCCAAAAAATTCAGATGCGTGTAGAAAGATAGTGACACACTTAAGAGAAAATAGAAGCATGTTTCATACAGAGCAATTGAAGGGTGAAACGCCGTTTCGCGTAGTACTAAGACATTCGCACAGTTCTACTGACATCAAGCAACTAAAAGACTCGATTGAAGAGAAAGGACATAAAATACGACAGATCCACAATATTAAACATAGAGAGACGAAAGTTCAATTTCCAATTTTCTTTATTGATTTAGAACCCAGCGATAATAATAAAATCATTTATGAAATTGAATATTTTTTTAAAATGCTAAAGTAATATTTGAAGCTACGCCAACAAAACGTGACAGTTCAATGCAAAAGATATCAAGGCCACAACCCCACCCAACGGTACTGTGGCCATCCACATCGCTGTGTTAAATGCGGTAAAGATAACCCAACTAGTGACTGCGACAAAGACAAAGACTCCCCACCAAAATGCGCTCTTTGCAAAGGCCAACACCCAACTAACTACAAGGGCTGAGCACTCTATCAGAGACTCCTAAATCGTAAAATGATACAAAATATTACATCGAGTTCTATACAGCTGCAAGGTAGTGAAAGAAGTCATTTAAACAGGATCCCAAACGTAGATCTGGAATCTGAATTTCCAACACTCGGCAATCCTTCAGTAACAGTCTTTACGTACATTCTCCGAAGCACTTATAAATGAAAACGTGCCTAAAGTTGTAAATAACTTATTGTTTAAGTGAGTCAATCTTTGAAGAAACTTGAAATAGTTCTGAGTAAACAAGCAAGACAAATGAGTTTATTCAACCTCTTGTCGAAACTAATAACAAGAAAATGAGTACCACCTACCGAATCGGAAGTGGAATGCAAACGAAATTTCTCAACACACCCGAGAATTAGAAATATTCTTAATAAACCTACACATTGATACAATGTTGATTTCTGAATCACACTTCACCAGCAAAAGTAATTTCTCTC